GGTCTGCTGTGGGTTATGTTCGACAAAAGACAATTAAATGTTTGATTTTGACTTTTACAGCTGATTTTATGTGAATGAGTTAAAATCATATATGAGAATACATAATAATGCATTTAAAAATATTTAATGCGTGTTTGAATCTTAATTATTATAATCTGATGTGTTTTTAAAAATGTTATATTACGTATTGTGCTTTTCTGATATATACATACCAATGTATGTGTTTTTATTCATGAACGGAAAAGCACAGAACAGCAATTTGCTGAAATAAGTGTCACCGGGTTGTAATAAATAAAATGAAATGAAATGAAATTATCTGAGTGATTATTATGTACGTTACCACGTTGGCTATCTTTACCCACTCAGATTTTATATTGAAAATATATAAAAATGAGGCAACAATTTGCCTTGTTAAACATTGACTTCTTGAGTCAAAGTAAAGACCAAAGCCCATAAAATCACTTTGTGCCTATATAGATTGTGATTTTTTTTAAATGTAGATGTACAGTGTATTCGAAATTTCTACAACTTCTTGGCCATAACAGCTATATGGAACAATATCAATAGTACCAGACAAAAATGTCTTCATAGATATTAAGAGAAGGAAGCATGTATTTGATACACTCTGCAAGCTTGTTATCGTCGTCATTATTATCATTATTATTATTATTATCATTGTTATTATTTTTATTGTTATTATTATTGTTATTATTATTGTTGTTATTATTGTTATTATTATTATTATTGTTATTGTTATTATTGTTATTGTTATTGTTATTATTATTGATGCATTTCTACCCCCTCTTAAATCAGAATTCCACGGGTGTGCGGGCGGGGAAGGGGAGAATCCTAACCGTATATTTTTGAAACTATGTAATTGATGCAGGCCCTGGCATTGGTCACTGTTTAGCTTCTCAGACTCAGGAAGATAAAGGAACGAGGCAGGCCTATCTCGTATTGTCTATAGCGTGGAATTTCTCCTGTCTATAGACCATAATACCAGAATAAAAGACCTTTATCTTCCTCTTCCTTCATCTTATGAATATAACGGTCACCCCCTTTTGTTCCAACGTCTCGCCTTGGAATGCAGCGTTGATCTGTAAGTACCGCATACTTTCCTCGTACGACGAGAAAGAACTTCCGAATTTCATCCAATCAATATCTGGAGCTATCGACTACAACAGCGTCGTCTGGCACGGTGCCATCGAAATTGCGCACAAAGAATTCCCGCCGAATTTTTGTGGTTTCTCGCCCTACCGCCTCTGCCCTGGTATGCATGGAGACCACACCATGCGAGCTGCAAAAAGCATTCTAAATTCTTTCTTACATCAAAGATGCAAAACGAAACCAAAATAAAGCACATTGTACTATGCATTGTATCACTTATGTGAACGGAATTGAAATAACTAATCAACCATCAGAAAAGGAAGTAACAATGTGTGATTTAGGTTTAATGTAGAGAGAAAATACGTAGTAATACTCCCGGGTGATACTGATAGTGATATACATGTAAATGCATCATGTTCAAGTTTACTGCATTTCTTTGCAAAAAAAAAAAAAAAATCATTGCATTTAAAGGAAGTGTATGATTACCTAACTACCGGTAAAGCCACCTTAATCTATGCATGGGAAAATGCTAGTCATGGATTACGGACCAAGCTATATTTAGGCGTTTTTAATACTACATCTACCTGGCAGTGTCTGTGTACACGAGTCAAGTGTTTGCATCTATGAATGACTGAACAGACCATTGACGTCAATGCATGGATAAACTCTGTCGCTAGATGGCGCTAGATAACTCAAAACGTAGTCGGTTGAGCCACGACTCGAATCTCAAAATATAATATCAACCTCAACACTTCTCCCAATCTGACCCTAAACCCAAGACAAAAAAAAATTAAAATTAAAACGTGAATCGGTTTCAGGTCCCACATCAGCAAATAGAACAGATAAAGATATATCTGGTGAATCAACATTTAAATAAAGGGGGGTGTGTCCATTCATAAAACAGAAATAAAGATATCAGTCTTTGGACCAGTAACACCTGATCTGTGTACTTTGAATCTCGTGTGAGCAAATAATGACATCATTATCATCACGATCTGTCGATCTCAGCATTTAAACGAGTGCCAATAATCCAGGAAGGTATCTTGCTATATTTTCTTTTTCTTCTTTTTCTTTTTTTTTGTTCTCTTTTCTTTCTCCAAACTTCCATTTGTTTTCTTCATGTTAGTTGAAATCAGTAAGCGTTTTACTTCGAAAGCCTTAATTAGAGCTCTGATTACATAACAAAAGTGATTCGAACTTTGTATGATTTCATATCAATGAGCGTTCAGTATAACCTCTCCCCCTCCCCCCCCCCCCCCACACACACAAACACATCCAGCAATATACCCCACACTACTACATGCATACTATCAATCTAATAAATGTATTGACTGGCATTGAAGGGGTTAACTATTATACATATGTAAAAGTATAGATATGGGCGCCGGGAAGGGATAGGGGAAAACTTGAGTAAAATTATTTAAAAAAAAATAGAAGTAACACAAATGAAATGGGATTATGATTGTTTTTGATAAGTGGAAGTATATCTTTATTAGATCAAAACTAAAGATGCTTTGTTTGGACGGGGCACACTTTCAGTGTCCCATTTTAAAATTAGAAACCTGAAATAATGTAATTAAAAAGAATCAGTCAGTGGCTGCAACCAAATTAATACAAATCGTTGACAAAAAAAAAGACAAAAAAAAAAGCTGGATTGGAAGCAACAAAGAGAGCAGCAATTTTTTATTTATAATGGCCTGTGATTATACTTTAAAATAATATTCTATATTAGGTAAATAGGCTGCACAATATTGATAGATATCATCACATTTAGGGTTGTCAATTCTTTCTGATAATAATGATGATAATAATGATGATGATGATGATAATAATAATAATATTAATGATTGAAATAATTGTTGGGTTAATATAACGCCTTTTTCTGAGGGTACAAGGGATTGTTCTCTCTCTCTAAAAAAAGGGTGAATTTTCACTCTATTTTCACTTTCTTGGGAGTGACGTCAGTAATCACTTGTTTAAAGGTAAAGACCAGTTATGGTCATGCGATTGCATTGTGAAAGAAACGTTGTGGAATCGATCAGAAAAGGTTGACCATCTAGCATCTAGCATCTGCAAGGTTCTGGAATCATCAAAATGATAAGAAATTTGGCCCATTCTTCGTAAAGTTACAAGCACTATACACAGAAAGATGTATATGGGACTACCCTATATCTCTCACAGACCATGAGAGAAACAAATTTACCAAATATATTAATTAGTAGGCGGTTTCCCGGCAAATTTGTTATCATCATGTATTAGTCAAAACATATTCTTTCACATGATTGGTAATGAGAGCTTCCATTTCATTTTTTGAAATTGGGGCGTTTCCAATACTGGTCTTTACCTTTAAGAGTGAATGTCGATTGATTTTCGAGTGCTCTCTAAAAAGAAAAGAGTGAACGTTTACTCTATTTTCACTACATTTCCACTCTCCAGAGGAGTGACGTACGTGATCACTCGATTTTTTTTTTAGAGAGAATTCCTTAGTCAATCAACAATATTTTTTTTTAAATAGAGATTTTGATATTTTTGGAACAAGTCCAGTGAAGTACTATTTCTTATTTGAAGATGATGCAACTTGAAAATGGAATTACAATACATTATAATTATCAAAAAAAGGGTGTCATTTAAGTCGATGGGGTATACATAAAGGTTTCATAGCCGTCTGTAGGCTATTGATCTTGATTTATTGAAATCCTTCAAATAATCATAATACAGTGTAGTTAAATTGTCAACCATATACCAATCGTAATTCTAAATGAAGATCTTACCCGTATTTTGTATTTAAGTGGGTGATTCTCTCAACTTATCACTATTTACACTCACCGCCCATGGACTGCGCCTATGCTCTTAGAGATTCCAGTGTTTAACAGTAAATATTTGATTTACCAAGATCTTTCCTCTTTCTAGATAGCGACAGAAGGAGATAGGCAAATAAATCCTTATTTTATGTTTATTTTGTGATGCATGGTGATAGCGTTTCTTTATCATCTCTCATTATTTTGGCCACCCATTATTTCTATTATCTCTCTCTCTCTCTCTCTCTCTCTCTCTCTCTCTCTCTCTTTCTCTCTCCCCCTCTCTCTTTCTTTCTATCTCTTTTTTTTTCTCTCTTTCTCTTCCCTCTCTCTTGCTTTTTATTTCCCCCTCATCTCTAACTCGCTTCAGCATAGCTAATAGCCACTAAAGGGAAGCCAACACAAGAGGGCGACATTCTTCTTGATCTCCATTGCTAGGGTAAGTTCGGAGACATCAAATGCTGATCAGACAACAGACAACTTCTAAACCAATGTACTTGGAATCCTCTCATTGCTTTCAGGACTTTGCTTTCAGAACGATGCCATTGTCATCATTATTACCTTCATAATTATTATTATCATCATTGTTATCATCGTTATCATCATCATCATCATTACTGTTATCAACTTTATCCTCAACATCATTACTATCATTATCATCATCACCACCATCACCATCATCATCATCATTACCGTCATCACCATCACTATCACCATCATCATTACCATCATCACCATCACCATCATCATCATCATCATTACCATCACTATCATTACTATCATCAACTTTATCATCAACATCATTACTATCATCATCATCACCACCACCACCATCATCATCATTATCATCATCACCACCATCACCATCATCATCATTACCATCATCACCATCACCATCACCATCATCATCATTACCATCACTATCATTACTATCATCATCTTTATCATCAACATCATTACTATAGTCATTACCACCATCACCATCACCATCATCATCATCACCATCATCATCATTACCATTACCGTCACCACCACAAATTATCATCATCACCATTACTAGATCGCCAAATGAAATTACAAATACAGTCAATAAAGTATGTTTTGATGGTTGTACATACTATATAAGTGACATTTAATTTTGATGCAAAACACAAAACAGTAGAAAATGTCTACATGAAGGAAAAATGAGAATATTACAAAACATTGCAGGGTGAAAAGTTGCATAGAAATACTTGAACATGTGATCCAACACACACCATGAATAAATCCTTTCACCCCCTTCAAAGGCCACAATATGAGAAACAGAACGCAGCACAAGATAAACAAATGAAAAGACAAAGTATAATTTACTACAAACACTATAATCATTTACTTGGTGAATCTACATACCATCCATATCATACACCACCCACAAGATGCAAGTTACTGCAACTATGGCAGATTCCAAAACTTGCTTTATCACATATGTGATCAAAACATGAGGCTTATAGAATACTAAAAGGGGATTCAGCAGTAAGACTGATGAAAATGTAACAAAAACAAGTTTACTACAAAACCAACTGACTACATAGCTGATTCATCAACACAATGCAATTCCTACACATGAATATAGCATGATAATAGAATACAAGGCCGGATTTTGGTGTTTCGTTTATCAAAATTGATACACGACAAGAATACTGTTTAGTATTGTAACAAAAAATACAAGTAGAATAGAAATTCTCTGCAGCATTTTAATAAAGGCTGTAAATGTGATGATTAAAAAAAACTAGATGTAACAAAAAATAGTTATCTCTACATTACTCAACCATGTTTATAACAAATTTAAACTTCAGAAATAACCCGCCAATAATGAATACATTTTACAATGCTTTCAACAGAAATACTTTGACTTAAGCATTGTTTTTGTTTAAGTACAAAGAAACTTTGTTTTATCACCAATTGAATAGTATTTCTTCACCTGATCAGTCACATGACCTCACCACCTGACATGACACCCACCCTATCAGTGTTATCCAGAGATGAATAAATCATATAGTTTGTCCCAAAATAGAGGGCATTCATGAAATACATTGCCTTGTATAGTGAGTAGAGTAGCTGTGTGGGTATTCAGATCTACTCCAAAAACTTCAAATCCTGCTTGTTTATTTGGACTGCCAGGAAGCCACTTTCTTGATATTAGACAAACGATATTGGCTGCTTAGTGACCGAATGGCATTAACTTGTATACTTTACACAGAGCCAACACTCTTCTGGTTGTCAACCAATGATATCTCATGTGTTTAGACTGATCATAAGGCACTAATATTATTGTCCTTTGCAGAGGGTCTTGCATAATATAAATAAACATTGGTTTTTATTACAAACTTTGTTTAAAGTTGACATGATCTAGCAGTTAGAATATTCGTTTAAAACGTTTCGTGTGTGATCAAAGCGTGTCATGCTAAATATCAAGAAAATCTGGCATCTGGTACTAGGTTATGATCATGGAACATAACTTCATGAAGACATTATTCCCATAAATCAATATAGAGATATGGTAATTTGATAAAACGAGACTCATCTTCTTATTATAATACCTCTGATACCTTACTTGTTAGTTGCTTAAACAGCATGTAAAACAGTTGAAAACATTTAGCTTTTACAATACAGCAGCCATTATAGCACAAATAACATCATCATGAAAAGCAAATTCTTCTCATGTTTTGCATATCAATAAATAACATATAAAAACAGTGACTTCTCTTTTCCCCCAAATGTTAACTTCCTCGTATAGAGCATCACCCTTCATACACCCTATAGCTATATCACATATTATATATAGATAATTTTGTTATATATTTATATATTCATATATTTTTATTTGGAGGTGTGTACACATTGATGCAAAATGCTGTTTTATACAAATATTATATACAGATTTTATGTACAGCTTAGGTTAATAAATGCTTTTTGTATCACATATTCTCAGTTTCATTAAATGGCCAATCACATTCCATCATTAATCCCCCCAAAAGTGATTTTATTTTTTTCAGCAGCTAATCCCCTATATTAAACATCTACATTGTCATCTTACAAATTATAGTTGAGCAATAATCATTTATAATTGTAAAATTATTAAGTTCTAAGACAATATTTAAACAAAGAATATGCTGAACAAATGTTACTTTAGGGTTGTATTAAATAACTGTAAATATAAGAAATTATGAATCCAAATCAAATCAATTTAGAAATAAGCAATGCTGGTATGAAAATACAATTAAACAATAGCAAATAGTACTCAAATTCATCATAGACATGTATGTTTTGCATGTTGTCAATACATTAAAAACTGCGTGACTTTTGCAATGAACATGCAATATTTTTAAATATTTGATCAATATAAGATGCTGATAGTAAGAATTTTGTGGGATGTCCTTTCCTAACTCAACTTCGAAAACCAGTATACATTACTTATAGATCCTCTTTTATCCATTGCTATCATAATGCAGTGTCATTATTAAAAACAAGCCCCAAAACAATGATTTCTTGAGCACCAAATTGTATAAAATACTGAAAAATCCAACAATTTCCTCAATCCCCTCACACACACCTACACGTATTTGAACAAGTAAACATAATTAAAAGCATCAAATCTTTATCATTTAATTAATAAGTGTGATGTCATTAGAGGCCTCTGGTATGTAATAAGTTCATGTGTATAATCTATTACTTATGACTCTTCAGTTACACGTGGTTGTAAAAAGGCATAGTATTCCTACCTTGATAAGGAGAGAATATCTATAACATCATATCACATCAGAAAAGTGAGGGTGTTACACTTTACTGAAAGTGATATGAGTGAACTGCCCTATGGCCCTCAACATGCATGACTGACCAATGAAAGCAGAGAGTAAGCTATTAATGTAAACAACAAACAGCAGTGGACCTAATGTTGAGCCCTGTGGTACCCCAATCTCTGAATCTCTGGTATTCTCATATTTTTATTTGTGTTGTATTACCAATACCTTCTATCAGAAACCTTAATATGTTAAGACCGATTTAAAAGGGCTACCGAAACTCATTACAGATTCAATTAATCATAAAGCATGATGGATCGTAACTGATAAAAAACAAAGAACTGTTTATTTCTTCTGTAATTCACAAACATTCCTATTCAGAAGAAAAATCTGCCCAAGTAATGCCTTATTATCTAACAAAATCTTTTCACTATTCTAGATCACACACAGCACAAACTTTCACATTAAGTACTTTTTAAATAGTTTACTCCTGTCTAAATTCAATATACAAATAAAGAAGTAAAGTAATTCATTTTACAAAAGAAGATTAACTTTGTTACAATTAAAATATTACTTAAATGGTTTAGTTGCTGTACACATGTAATTCATTTCAATACATCTGCACAATAAGAGAAACATTTTCAAAAAATATACATGAAAATATTTGTCTGAGCTTCTCCAGTGTGCAGCAAAACAATCAGTAAAAATAAACATTATAAGCACCTTGATGGGATGGATAAATCCAATATATTGATAAATTCTCAGTAAAAAGTCATAACAATATTCTCTGTCTTCCAAGCTATATTTTGTATAAGGAGATAGGAGGGCTGTGCATTTTGGAAGGCACCTGCAAAGTATGTACCTGCTGGTTATCATTCATATATCTGACAGATGTTTTTTTTCATTTGCAATATTTTTTTAAATAGCAAAACATTGATTACAAAAATATAGAAAATAGAGATGAGGTTCATCATCTTAACAGTCTGCTTCCCCCCACTAAAACTTACATGTTGCATATTACACTGCACAGAAAACAAGAAGTCAAATTGATTCTTAATTGTTCCATATTCATCACATGACCAACAATAAATCAGGTGACCAAAATAATATAGTCACATGACATATAATAGAATGAAAGCCTAATTGGTTACATATCTCCCCTCTTACAAAATACATAGACAAAGAATGCTGCATAGTGTTGGATGGAAGAAATTTGCATAATTCATGAGAGTTCTTGCTGCATCCTTGTACATGTCACCTGATCAGTCACATGACTTCACCACCTGACATCGAAACCCACCCTATCAGCTGGAACACGTTCTGCAGCACATTTTCCGGAAGTATTCGTTGTTGCAGAATCTGAATTTCTTGACGAGAGGGCAGTATGTGACTGAGCTTGCATCTTGGCAACCTTGAGTAATGAAAAATGAATAAGTTTGTTATGTAATTACTCACCTAGGTGTAACTCGATCTACAGTATCAAATTTAAATGTAACTCTATGATACATAACAAAAGAACAATCAGACTTGGCAAATATTGAATGTAAATAGATTTGATTCAATGAATTAAGAATTGGGGGTACCAGGCTCAGAATTTCTCTCTTTTATGGTTGCACGACAACACGGTCACCAATTGTTTACATAAGTGCAACATTACATTTTAAAGAACAAGCACAATAGATAGTGATAACATTTAGCTCACCAAACCCTCGCCCCTTTTTGTACCAATTTACCCCTCTCAAGTGAATTGTCTGGTGGAGACAGTATGGTGCCATGTATAGTACCATACTCCACCTTTGATCCTTATCCCCCTCTCTCTAACCCTATGAGGGGTAACATATTACCCCTCTGAATCTTAAAAGTACTTACTATCTGGTGGTGCTGGGATTGTATCACATGTATTCTTATGCTCTACTCTTCATCTCATCTAGCTACCCATTTTAGTCTAATGAGTATTGGTCTCTCTGGGTTGGAGTAGTACCAAAAGGACTCTTGCACTCCATTTTTCAACCCCATCTTGCCCCCCCCCCCCCCCTCTTCATTTACCCCTCTGGAACTTTACATTACCCCTCTGAACCTTTACATTACCCCTCTGAATCTAATGAGTACTTAATGTCATATGGTGCTGGGATTCATGCTCTACCCTTCATCCTATCTAGCTACCCATTTCAGTCTAATGAGTATTGGTCTCTTTGGGTTGGATTAGTACCAAAGGGACTCTTGCACTCCATCTTTCAACCCCATCTAGCCCCCCCCCCCCTCTTCATTTACACCTCTGAATGTAAGAGTACTTACTGTCTGGTGGTGCTGGTATTGTACCACATGGACTCTCGCACTGCTTTTGCCTGCTTGGTCTCTCCGAAGCATGGCAGTTCTGATCTCGAAGGATGACACCGTTCTGAGCCATACAGCTGACAGGGCGGTTCGTCTGACCCATACCACATCGTGTATTGCACTGCAAGGAGAGAGAAAAGATGGGGAAAATATATTCCATTAGATAGGTAGATTCATATTAGCACTGACCATACTTTTAAATATTCTTGTCATCATCATGACTACCATCATAACATAATTCATATCATCATCGTCGTCGTCGTCGTCGTCGTCGTCATCATCATCATCATCATCATCATCATCATCATCATCATCATCATCATCATCATCATCATCATCATCATCATCATCATCATCATCATCATCATCATCATCACCATCATCATCATCATCATCATCCCATCATCATCATCATAATTCTTATCACCAAATTTACCACCATCATCACTATCACCACTATCACCACGATATTAATCAGCCATCATCAACATCATCTTTCTCATTCTCATCATCAACATCATCTTTCTCATTCTCATCATTATCATAATTCTTATCACCGAATTTACCACCATCATATTAATCACCGATCATCAACATCATCTTTCTCATTCTCATCATCATCATCACCACAAGAGTTCTCTTACCTCGCTCCAATCTCCAGCAATCCACCTAGGTGGAGGACAATCCCCTAGGTTACAAGGCATCCTGTAGACTGGCATGTCTGCTTTGTTACACATGATGTGTGAGTAGGTCTGTCTACGATCACTGCTCATACACTGAACATGACGCTGTTTATGGCCTGGCCCACATGAAGGATAACACTGTTAAAACAAAGCAGGTCAAGATAATACCGTTTTTATATTAAACCATTTACTTTTAAAAATTCATTTCAAAGGTAATATCTATATAGTTTTGGTAGCAAATAGAAATTCAAATCAAAGTTTTTGAATAATGTCCTCATATTGTTCTACTTGAACCAAAAGATAAAGATGCCAAACATGGTGATGTTCTGTCTACATTCTATCTGATGGACATAGATATCAATGTCTATAAAGAATGTCCAAATAAAGCTACAGATCATCTACTGTCTGCCCAGCAGCACTTCAAACAGCAAACATCACAGAGATTCAAATGAATGGCTAGTAATTATCACTTTCCATTTGTTTTGCATGTGGCTATCACACAAAGAAATCCATGTACTTGGGATATATGAAGTGATAAAACTTCACAAGCAACTTGAAATAGAAGGTATCTTGCTATTTATAACAAAAAAAAGCTAAGAGAAGTGAGGTTTTGAGTACTTGAATAGGAGCTCCCTAAAAAGGGTACTAACCTGCGCCCACGGTCCGGTGATCCATACCGGTGGACATTCCCTGTGCCCACACGTCATGATCTCAGCTGGTTTGTGTTCCTCACACAGCGACTCATCTACCACTTCATCTTCATGCTGGGTCACCTTGGTGGTACACAGAACGGTCCTGGTCTTCTCTCCGTTACCGCATGTCCTAGTACACTCAGACCAGGCAGATATCTGCCATCTGCATCAACAACAAAGAAATCATTAAAATAGCATCAAAGCCTCTTTTTATATCATTTGGTAGTTTGCCAGCAGCAAGTCAAGTTACACACATATCATTGTTACATGATTTATATTTCAGTTCTTCATGTCCTCAATTTCTCTTTTATTTCATTTTAACAAAAAAATTATGTAAAAGAGGTTTAATAATTTAAATCAATGAAAAGCTATATTTTTTCATGTAGTGATGTATTAGAGGGAAAGAGAGTTGGTTGCATATAACAAGAGAAGGGAAAGAGAGAGATAAGGAAAGAGAGAGACAGAGAGAAAGAAAGAGAGAAAGAATGACAGATATAAAAAGAGAGAGGGAGGGAGAGAGAGAGAGAGAGATAACGAGAGAAAGAGAGGAGAGGAGAGAGAGAGAGAGAGAGAGAGGAGAGGAGAGGAGAGGAGAGGAGAGGAGAGGAGAGGAGAGGAGAGAGATAAAGAGAGAGAGAGAGTAATACTTACTCTGGAGGACAAGCCTGTGTGTTACAAGAGATGGTTCTTCTTTCAGGTTTCGGATGATCACAGAATGTATCACTAACAATAGTTTCATCGTCTACCCTGACACACCGCATCTCAGATATTGATACACCTGTAGAAAAGTTAAAAGAACATCATTATACTCTTTTGTAATCATCTCAACATTTGTTTTACTCTTGTGTAATCATCTCAACATTTGTTTTACTCTTACGAAAAGCATCTCACAGGCAGCAACGTCAGTAGTAAGCAATGATCATCATTATCTTCTTTTCATTTCTTTTGTCTATCCACCTACCCATTCATCTATCCATCCATCTATCCATCCATCTCTTTAGCCATCCACCCATCTATTCCTCTCTCTGTATATGTCTATCCACCCACCCATCCATCCATCCATCTATCTCTCTATTCCTCTCTCTCTCTCTCTCTCTCTCTTTCTCTATTTGTCTATCCACCCATCAATCTATCTTTTTTTATAAATGTATCTATCTATATATCCATCTTTCTCTGTATCTATTTATTTATCTATTTATTTATCTATCTATACATCCATCAATCTAGAGCCAGAAGTTCATTAACTAGTATATTTTAACACAGAGTTAATGCCCTTTTGGCTCTCAGCAGACGAGAATATCTTTCTACCTCTTCTTTTACAAATCTCTAGATTTCCTTTACTTCTCCCCCTACATTCTTACCTCCTGCGCATGTAACAGAGCACTGCGACCAGTCACCCCTCTCCCAAGTAAAGGCCATCTGTCTGTCACCCTGGTTTGTTCTCGTCACTGGACGGTTGAAGGAATATCTGATTCCATGATTCTCCTCCTGAACAAGCAACTAGAAAACAAACAAAAGTAGATGATATCATAGAGAGTTAAAGGGGGTGTAGCATGGCAAATACTGGTTAATGCCATTTACGACTTCTTCTGGACAACTGCATGAAAAAGAATGAACTTGCTTTGGTTTCGCAAATGTTGCATGCACATGAATACTGCGGTTGCGCCGTCCATAGTCGTTTTATACCCAATGTGCCCCAAGTCAGGCCACAGGAAAGACACAGTCTCGTCACGCTACACCCCCTTTAAGGATCTAATGTCAAAGTCAGTACCTTATCCAATCTACTCTAATCTAATCAAATCAATGATTTTTCATATTTCTTTTTCTTTGCAGTTAATACAAAGAAAGTCCTTCACAATATGGGTCACTCATACGATAATAAATCTATTCAGAAGTTACTTTATAAGACATTACTGAGCTTCTACATATAAAATAATGATTGAAAATGAAGAAAAAAATTTATACTACAAATAACCTCCCTAAATACAGAAGAAAATTTTAAGAAATTGTTATGATTTAAAAAAAACATATATATATATATATATAACAACATGAGCTCAAGTTCATTTGTCAAGCTCAATTACTCTATTCCACTTCAAATATAATGAGAACTGAAATGTTGTATTTGGTAATTACCATGACAACAAGTTCTTGATTGGTTGGTCCAAGCGCACTGAGAGTCTCTGGGGCATCGTCTGGTCTCTCGTAGATGAATGTAGATCCAGCGACGTCGTAGGATTTAGGCCAATCTATCATCCATTCAGCATTGATGTAGTAATCATTATTCACTGACTTCAGTGCTACAAAGTTGTTTTTTAAAGAGGAGAAAGATAATAATCATTGATTTATTTGAATAATACTGTGAAAACTGAAAGATTACTTCTCCCTTTGATTTGATTTGATTCTCAGTCAATCAAGAGCAAAGATGTTTCTAGTTACACATACTTTAACCATTACTAATGAGATACAATTCTTTAGTAAACCATTTTCGTAAAGTGACTGGAATCTCTAGAACAATGTGCATTTTTATAAAGTTAAATTGACAATATCTGAGGTTACCTTCAAGACACACCAGGACAAACATGTAAACAACATCCTATTCAGACCCAAGAATAATTCCCTGTCTCACATGCAACCCAACACAAGATGGTACTAACCTAAATAATTCCTAGAAATGGCCATCTCCTGTAGACTGATGTGAACAGATCCTCTGGGGATGGTAAGGATCTCTTGATAGTCTCCTGCTACCAGCTCCCCGTTGAATGTACCTCCCACTGTTTCACATGAACTACCATCTCCTCCACACACACGACACTTGTCCTCCCTGGCTTCAGAGCCTAGTATCTTGTCACATCCTACAGTCTGTGGGATAAAACAATATCAGAATAAACTCCAAACATGTCTATATTGCTATTAAATCAATATATCTCTATCTGAAACATACAGACGGTAAGAAAATCTCTAGAGCTTTCAGGACATTCCTAGATGAAAATAACAAGAATTATTGTAATAATAATAACAATAATAATGATACAAATTCTGCACAGTCCATTAAGAATCATACCCAATAATTGCAATTTAGGTCAGCAAAATGTAGCACAACTACAGCTTTTTAGTCGGTGCTATAGGTGAAAACTTTAAAGAATCCTTTTATTACACGCCTAACCCATGATTCTGACTTACATGGCATTTTCCATTGATGCATATATCAAGTGACTCCGGTTTGTATCTCTCAGAGTAGCATCTCGTTCCATCTACCACCTTAGGTATCCTCCTGAGATGGTTCCCACCGGACGACACACAGGAGAGCTGACAGGGCTCAGGGTTGGGACTCACGTAAGGCTCCCAGGTATAGAACTGACCATGGTAAACCTCGTTATTGAAGGACGAGCATTGGACGGTAAGAAAATCTCGCGAGTTCTCAGGACATTCCTAGAGGAATCATGGTAATAATAATAAGAATAATGAATATACACATTACATACAGGATAGATACATCAAAATTGGTAAATCTTACATGAGGTATGAACAAAGCTGTTGTAACAAAATATGGTGTGCAGCAAAAATCTTGTTCCAGCCTACCTATCAATATTCAAAAGTGACTAATCTGTGTTGTTTTTCATCTTTATGAATGACATGCAGAAGGATATAACCAGCCATACTTTAATTCTTTTCAGATGGCCATCACAAAGAAGAGCTGGGCCCCACTTCACAAAACTTGTCATCAGTGACAAATGACAGTTTTTGGTATAAGCTAGTGAAATCCTTGCTTCTGATTGGTTATCAGCAGATTTGTCACTGGTTTTGTCATTGTCATTGACAAAAGGTTTTGTGAAATGGGTTCCAGGACTCATCACTACTTAAGTTTAACTTCCCCACTTCTCATTAATTTATCAGCACATTTTTTATTTCTGCATCAGTAATCTGAGAGCAAACAACTGTGATCCATGCACAATCCATCTCTTTCAAGTTAGTTAATTCCATTAAAATGATATATTGTGATTGCATATAATGAGACTTACATTGGTATTACATGATCTGTATCTACTTCTCTCTCCTGTGCAGTACTGGCCTCGATTTCTGGGCCTGAAAAAAAGAAGAAAAAGAAGAAAGCATTGTCATATTGAGAAGCTTCAGTAGAACACATTCTTCAGTGATTTTCATCACCAATTCTTACTTAATTTCATGTTCCTTTTGTTTACTCTGTAGGTCCTTTTAATAAAAATAAAATATGTTAATAGTGTCGTAATTACAACAGGAATACAAGAGATTACCCGAATTTTATCATTTCTGTTTGAAAATGTTACCAATTAATGCCCAGTACTCAGCTAATTGTTTCTTTATGTTTTGTTATATTTTATATTTGACCCTAATGTACTGTATTTTGGAAGTGAAGAATTAATTACTAGAACAAAATTAGAGTGCCACCAAGTTTATAAACATGTATCACGTCTAAGATTTTGTAAGAGTCTTTTAGTACCATTTCTTTTTCCAATGTTCATCTTGATCAAAATTAGTTTTATTGCAGCTAACGTCACAATTCACCAACCCAATAGTAATTTGAATAGCTAGAAAAAACTTTTTATAATCTAAAAATGTTATACACAACAATTGAAACTTGGGCTGTCTGATCTGCAGATGGTACTAAAACGGTAAACCCTTTGGCTACTAGAACCAAGTGAGCCTGTATTAAGCCTATATGGCAATTGGGGATTTAGTAGTCCTTGGGTTAAAATAGAGTGAAACACAAGGATGGGGTATGAAGGTATGACTCACTCTGGATTATTGCACTGTCTCTCTGAGTTTGAGACGCCCCCACCACAGGTCCTGGAACACTCTGACCATGAAGACCAGGTCCCCCAGGAACCATCTACTGCTTGAGGTCTAGTCCCATACTCTACACAGTCTCCTAGATAGCACCACTGTAACACAAAAATGAGGAACAGATCAAAAATAAGAATACTCTGACCATGCATGAAGACCAAGTCCTACTGCTTGAGGTCTATTCCCGTATTCTATATCACCCTAATAGCACCACTGTAACGAGATATATGAAACATAAGAACCTCTGACCATAAAGACTAGGTCTCATTGCTTTTGGTCTTGCCTCATGCATGTAGTTTACAGTCTCCCAAATGTAGATACATGTGCATTATGTAGCAACACTAAAACAAAAATAAATGAGGATCATCGCATAATTTGTTTTTAAATCTAGCTGTGGCTTTAAAAATTGTGACAACTTTCTTTTTTTAATCTTGTCAGACATTTTAAACATACCAGTAGACCCATACTTGTGCCTCCTCCCATCCTACAAATCCTGGATCTCATATTATAAACTGTCGCAAATGATTCAAATCGATTACAACTTGTATTGATTAAAACTCTGTACAAAAGAAAATAATTGTATTTGTAAGTTTGTGATTGAATGAAAGACTTCATATCAGTTCAAATCAATTACAAGTCAGTGAGGGCCCTGGCTTTTCTGAACTATATTCCTACTTACTCCTTCTGATATAATTGATGTTTGACATCGAGTCCCCTCTGCAGCAGGAGTTCCTGTTCTCCAACAAGCCCTTGTGTTTGGCTTCTGACAAGCCAGCTCCCGACATATATTCTAGCAAGGGTTAAAGGAATTTCAAAATGACATGATTGATAGAAATTTTGGTAATGCGGATTATCAAAGTTTGGCATCATCAATGACTATTGAAGTACAGGACTGGTCATCCATGACTTTCTTTGAAAATGTAAGATTTTAAATATCCAGCAAAGTCTCGAAATATGTGTAATTGACTTAACAACATCACAACAACAGCAACAATGATGAAGAAGAGAAAAAATGTATAGAATACTATGATGTCATAAAACTTGAAACAAGCTTATCTTGGTTTTAATTACACCGAAATTTTTTGAATTAATACACCCACACACGAACATGATCTGGACTATGATACTGAATACCAGCCAAATTAGCCGACCCTAATATTAATAGTTATACTATACAAAGTAAACATAGAATCCTGCATATAAAATTATCAAAATGTATTCAAATATCTGAATGGTTATGACTAATATGTTAAACCAGTCAGGAAGTGGGTAGTTATATACACAGTGTCAGTGGTTTAGGGTCTACTGTTATTCAATGCAATGAATGCACATATACACATAGTTATCAATGAGATCTATGACACCAAAAACTCTGTCAGCATATCATGCAGATATCACATTTCAAAACAACATTAATTTATAAATCCTTTTTCATTATATGCCTAATCTAAAGATAAAAATAGCTCAAATCTCAATTGGCACTTAATAGAATATTAGCAGTTAGCCAACGAGAAGCATTATTATGTGATGGACTGTATGCACTTAACATCCTTCCTAAACCATTCTAGGTATTATATGAATGCCTTCCAATTGTTTTGCTGTATGGAATACAGTAGTGGAAAACCAGAGAACTTTTGCAAATAGTTAATGATCGACAACAATTTTCAGGGCAAGAACTTTCATGCATTGCAAATATTCAGTGTTAATCATTATAGTGATTCAATCATCTCATGGCATGAAATTTTCATGAAAATGAACCATGCACTCATGAAATTTGCACACATATCATGCACATGTAAGTTCTGAGCCCTGTAACACAACTATTTGCATTAAATTGCAAAATGATAATGGCCAATCAACATCCTTGATGTATGCAAATATTGTTCAAAAGGCAGACCATTAACCAATCAGAATCGTTGTTTTGAATTTGCAATCGATGACAAACTTTTATGTTAACGGGCCGGGCCCTGGTTTAACAGTACTGGGATCTGCCTGAATTTGAATCAGACTGTATATACTCACATTGGTATTGCATGCCTTGGCACCCTGGCCATACTGGAGCTGACACTGTTGGTTCCCATCCACCAGTTCACCAGGCATGGCTGTAGGTAACCAGTAGTCTGCCAGCTGAGGAACATCGTCAAGACATATCGCCTTCCCCGACCTTCAGGAGAGAACAGGAAGAGACAGAGCATGAGAGGGAGAGAGTTAATGTGCCTTTGAACCCTTACATTCACATATATAATAACATGGACAGTTTTCTCTTAAAGAGAACGAAGTATCATGTAGAGAAAGCTTCCAGGCAATCCCACCGCTGCCACCAGTGTAAACAAAAAGTAGGGAATGAGTCTAATTTCAATTCTTACAGGTCAAACCTCCATTAGTACATGGCCACTGCTTTAAAAGGACCACCTGTCTATAGTGGCTATGTGTCTTTGTGTTTGTCTCTCTGAAAAGAAATGTTTGTTAAAGAACCTGCATAGAAAGACCACCTGTCTTCAGTAGTAACTTTCTCTGTTTCCCTTGAGTGGCTTCAATAGAAAGTTTTGGCTGAATGTTACGAAAATCATACAAATAATCTGCTTATACAGGGCCAGAAGGGTGTTAACTCGGAATAAAAGGACATGAGTTAGTGCCCTTTTTGCTCTCCGTAGAAGATAAACCAAAAGCTCATCAGCCAACTACATGCAGGTATATATACAGAGGTTTCACTTTAGCAGGGACTATCATTTACAAAATACCTAAATGCTCAAGATATTTATTTATATAGCAAAGAATGGTTCAGCAGATAAAATGATTCATATTTCAGAGAAGTTCATCCTCGATTAAAAATGAATGCTTGAAACTATTATTTTCACTTTATTCCTTGTGTTTTTGGCAGCATTCTACCTTTTTTGTGGGTGGTCTGTTGTTTTATGAAGAACTCCACAATGTCGGCTGTTTCACACTAACCAGTACATCTCCAAGCTGAAAAACTGGTCATATTTTGTACCATACTTCAAACAAGATTCCATATACAACCTTGATATATGCACACAGAGTCAACAAATAGAGCCATGATAGATTGGTTAGTGAATGGACAAGTCTCTCAATTATCCCTCATCCTTGTACTTAGGAAACTAATAAATCAAAAAGTTGACCCTACAAGTCCTCTGAAGGATATTGTTCCGGTTTGATAAATGAATCAAAAGTGGCTCCTTTTTAAAAGCTTTAAATGTCATAAAACTAAATGGTTTATACCACCTAAAGAGCAGCAAATCTCTTGGAAATAGACAGTAATCCAATGTTCATCATCTAGCTAGCTCTCAACTCAGATGGAACAAAAGTTATTTCCACTCTACAGGACTGTTTTTTTTTCTAGAAACTCAAGCAGGTTTAAAATCAAGGATTCGGAATAGCAGGTCACCCAAATGTTCTTACAACAGGAAACCCCTGTACATGCGCATAAAGGATTATACCCGCATTGTCCAATTGAAGAAAAAGGGGGAGAGCAGGATGTGGAGGTATCAATGTATATAAAGGAAATATATTTAACCCCCTGATTACTGATTTTTTTTCGTTCACATAGACTTCACACAGGGACCACCAGGCTCCCTCAGGCAATGGGTTAACTGGAAAGGAAAGAAAGAATTTGGATATCGATGGATTCCTCCAAATTTGCTGGCAAAAACTACTTCTAATGAAACTTCTGTGGTGACACTGGACCTTTTTGAAACAGATTAGGGTTTAGTAATTACAATGAATCAATATTGTAGCTTTAGCCTTACACATTCACTTCTCCAGGATTGATCCTGTTTCTATTATCTGATCTCACAGGTCTCGTAAATATCATACAGCGATCAAGCACAATACATATTTGGTAGCCAAGTATATTTTTAGACAGAAACATGAACCATGCTTATATCAGGATCAAGCATGTATTCTTGTGGTTTATCCCAGTGGATGTTTTTGCAAACTCGTTGCTCAAAATAGCACCCCAGCCCCCACTTTTAGCACTCAATCTAAGCCGGAATGTCACTGGGTCACCAGACTGTGTGAACATCAACAACTCTGCTGATTTAACAATGAATTTAATCTTGATTTTCTAAATAATTTGAGAGAAGTTTACAAACAAATTTGAGTTCGATTGGATGTCAGCCAATTTTTTCCTTATCATGAATCCTCAAATTTTGAAATTCAATCCTTTACAGGTCTATATCTTAAGATAATATCCATAGTTTATTCCTAAGTTTTGACAATTTATTAGTGAAGATTAAAATCTGGTGAATTATTTCAAGGCGAGAACGTGAGTAGTACAAGCTGCATTCCTGTATATTTACTGTCAAACAGCAAAACTATTGGAAATATATCCCAGGTACAAAATACAAAGACATACAACAATATACAAGGTTAAACAGAATTCTACACAATCATATAGATTTAAAAAAAAAGGAAACAAACAGAATTCCTGCTTGCTTGTTTTTATGAAAAGTACCTTTTTGGAGTCTCTTTTATGAACCTGCCTAATATTTCATATCTATTTGAAGGTCATTTTTTTCTCCCTTGGGGGCAAGTTATCTGGTACATCTACTTAAAATACAGACTGACCGGTGATGAAACTGACCGATAAAACTGGCCAGAGCGGATGGTTATATACAGCCTGGTCAGCTCGACCTCATCTATCTTGTAACATCTGACCTTCCCTCTACTGTCATACAAGCCTTGTTGATATGTTGACATCTTTTCATTCTTTTTTCATTGCTTTTCTTGTCATATCCTTGCTTGGGGTCATCCTCATATCAAACATTCTGTATATGTTTTTGTAATTCAATTCCTTTCAAACTTGTACTGACCCAAATTTATAGGTCATGCAGGTCATTATGAAGAGTGTCTGATTTGAAATTTATGTTTTGTTTTTATTTTTGTTTCTGAGAAGTTGAATCTTTTATCATTAATATATATATTTTTTAAACTGTATAATTTTTTAGAGCAACGTGACAATTATACGCATAGGTCACCCAACATTTTCATATTTTTTTTCTGTAAATTTGATGTTGGAAAAATGAATATATACACAGCAGTTCAAAATATATATTATGGGTATGTTTTCACAAAGATAAAACTTATATTTCAAATATATTTGACAAAGATATTTTTGATAAACTACATTTAAATATGATCTTTGCATATGCTTTGAAGACATATAGTTGTGAGCTTGCCCAAGTTTCATTTTCAGATGTAACCAGTGGGGGATCCAGGGGGAGGGACCCGGCGCGATTTCCAAATTTTCAGGAGCAAAAAAAAATATATAAAAATAAAAAATAGTTCTCACTATCCCTCCCCCTCCCCCTCCCTCCCCCCTCCCCCCTCACTGAGCGACTTTTCAAACCCCCCCCTAAGAAATCCTGGATCCGCGCCTGGATGTAACCACCCCCCCCCCCCCCCCCCAACAACAACCCATTTAAAGTGTTCGACCCACAAAGGCAATTTCTACTGTTGGAGAATTACAGGCCTAGACAGGATCTTTATATCTTTCAAAGTATTTTGATTCTCTTCAGGACATAAAGATGAACATTCTTGTCATGACTTGGTATCAATTATGTCTACACAGGGACAGCAATGATGAATCTATCCCTGTCTTAGACAGCTGCTATCTCAACCTGTATGACACCCGGTTTATAGGGTTTTATAGAGTCTGGGGGAAACTTGCTCTCCATGGTATCATAGAAAGATATGGTAGAGAGAGGAAAAGGGAGGGAGAGGGAGAGGGAGAGGGAGAGGGGGGAGAGAGAGAAAGACAGAAAGAGAGAGGGAGAGAGAGAGAGAAAGAGAGAGAGATAGAGGATAGAGGAGCGGGAGAGAGGGAGGAAGACGGAGAGGGGAAAAGGAAATAGCAAAAAATAGATAGAAAGAGAAAGAAAAAGAGAGAAGAAGAGTGACAGATGACATAAAGATACAGAAAGTTAACAGAAAGACAGAAAGAGACAAAGACAGAAAGAGATAATAATGACATGATCGACATATATAGAAAGAGATAAATAATGAGTCAGAGAAAGAGACACAAAGACACAAATACAAATGACTGTTAGAGCAGGGAGGGAGAAAGAGAGAAAAAGAGACGAGCACGATAAAACTGAAAGAAGAAGCATGTAAGCAAGAGATGAGAATGTTTGTTCACAAGTCTGAGACAAAATGCTCTCAAAGGCATAATAAAGGTGTGTATTATGAGAAAGTCATTTCTATTGTTTGCAAACTATAGACAGTGCCCCAGATTTACATGACTCTGACCAAAGTTTATCTCTTACTTGGCTGAAGTCTGTTTAATACAAGACTGATTTTGACCACACCCAACGTTTGGTAAAATCTTTTGTCTCCTCTTATGGAGAAAGATTGTAAATGAAGCTGACACCACCTTTCTATATCCTCACAATCCACATTATTTCTAACAAACAAACCTGCGTAATTTCCATCTGACTTGTTTTGCAAGGAATATTCTGGATAAAAGTACACATGTATTCTGGTCATTTCTCCCTCCTGAAGAAAATACAAACTGTTCAAACTCCAGACTCAAGCAAGAAAATTTATGGTATTTTGTAGGGGATATTCAGCTATACTGAGATACTTGATTAGATCTTATCTGCACCAGCTACTCCAAGTTCTATCCGCAAATTCTGGGTCATTGAGATATGGGTAGATGTGCATCGTGTGAAGAGGACATGCGGAGTGACCAGCAGGAAACAGAGAGAAGAGGGCATGAATATGGGTCACTTGACCACCTGATCGCTCATCAACAATGACCTCTGACCTCAGAGAGACACGGGTCAATTGGTGCTGAATCAACTTTTCACAGGCTATGACAGCACTATTCAGTGTCTACCTTACCGTGATAATAACCCGATTCCTTTAGAAGACGTAAGGCATTTACAAAGCTCCTCATTACATCAGCAGAACCTTGTGTTGTGTAAATTAAAATATCTTTGCATCAAACGTTTTTCTGCATAATCCTTGCTTTGGAACTATAATCTTTTGCTCATATTTCTTAAAAGGCAAAGATTGTAGTAGTACTGTGAAAATGATGTTTCAATGGTTGCATGCTTTTAATATCAGATATAGCAAAACTATGTTCAAACCACTTGAGCCAACAAACAGATCACTCTGCCAAAAACGATGAGCCTTTTTTTTCTTCAACATTGATGATTCTTTTCAGAACTCACCCGAGAAAGAATTTATCAACAGTCCTCTTAAAGATTATACTACATGGTCCTCCTGTAAAACCTTTTCACTAGTTTTAAGGACATGAAGATCTACTTACTCAATGTAGGATGTGATGTAATGAGCGCTGCATTCAGACCAGGAGTATGGATCACTGTTCTCTGTGATCTGATCCGCCATGATACCTCCCATTGATCCACAGGCATTCCCATCTCCATCATGCTTCATACCAAAACTAGATCAGAGAAATGACAAAATTATATTGATTTAGAAATGTTAAAGTATGTCCCAATATGTCTAATTAACCTAAGGGTATGTGTATTTTGTGAAACTAGAGGATCCTGGCTTTTGTCTATGATCTGTGATCTGATCAGCAAGTAGTTTCTCTTGATCCATTGGTATTACCATCTTCATCATGCCTCATACCGAGAATATATCACAGAAAGAAAACAGCTCCATTTGCACATGTAATAATGACCAAAAATATTGACATCTATTTAAACAATTATTGCTTCTTCATGAAAGTTTAACAGCAACTGTTATACATGTATACCACTCAGAAGCTTGGCATCTCTCATTCACACAAATACATACCTCCATGAAGAGAGAAACTTCATTTTGGTGACTTACTGGTGGTCTTGACAAGCGATCACAAATACAAACATCATCAACATTTTTGCTTCTTGTTTTGTTTGCTAAAAAAACAGATAACACCAGACTGTTTTAAATACTTGTGGCCAATCACATATGTGCTAAATAGTATGCCTATAGATACTCTCTAGCCTATAACACGTAGCTACATCTAATGTGATACTCACTTGTGACCTATCTCGTGTGCTATAGTAAATGCTGTAGCTAGTCCTGTATCTTCATTGATGTTACAGCTCTGGTCTGGTCTACACATCACACCTACAGGAGCAAGACCTAACATAGGAATACAATCACAAGAAAGACTATTAAATAACATAATCAGAAGGTAATAAGTGCTAGAATATAAACAGATGTAATAAAGTTTTAGATAAAGTATTATCTGTTTACAGAGCTAGAAGGTTCTGTGTTATATTACATATGAGTTATAATGTCCTTCTTGCTCCAAACAGACAATGTGTATGTTGATTGGTATACATAAAATTGTCTATTTGGAGCTACAGATGTGTGAACTGTATGTTGGAGTATATGTGAGAATAACACTCATGTGGCTACAAAAAAAGGAGAAATTATATATTTTATACCCCATGGAGATGTTCGAATTTTGTAAATTTTAAACAGGAACTTGCTATCCATTGTATTCAATAAAATATTGCTCAGATTGGCAAGGGGTTCTTAGAATATGGCTTCTATATGTCCATATGAATGAGCTTGTTAAAAGCTATTTTAATGGTGAAATTATTATAATTATGTAGTGAAAAGTTACAATAACAAAAACAAACAATTAACACCGGTTCATTCTTTGATGGGGTTGGGCATTATGCTTCATGTATCACCAGGGAAATGTTACTGTAACAGTCTCCTGCTAAAGGAATTATATATCAGCTGTTTGGAGCCAGAAGGGTGTTAGTTTGTATACTTTAATACAAGAACTATAATGCCCTTATGGGCCTCAACGATATGATCCCCACTTGATCCCGCAAAACTAGAAATAAAAGTTGTTGGTGAGCATGGGTGTGTAATTTAATAGGAACCCAGTAAGAGGAGCCAACCAACGATCAGGAATAATTGTAATTTGAGTTTCCTCTATATTTCCCATAGTGATTATTTCTCATTAGAGGTCCATTATATCAATTAGGTGTAGAGGTCACGTAAAATGTGTGATGATGGAACAGAAGGAATGTAATGGCCTGTTCAGACTGGAGAAAATTCATATGAAAATCGTATAAAGAAATGTCGTGTAAAGATTCATCGTATAGCGGAAGGGGCGCACAGACTAGATAACAACCTCATATAAAGAAACTGGTTTTAAAGAGGTTAATTAAGAGGACAGCTGTCCAATCAAGAGTGAGTGCTCATTATGTTCGAACTAGAATGGGATCCTGATTATTATAATCTATAATGAGTTTTTCATTTAATGATGCTTAAACATGCATTCACTAAATGACATTTCATTATAAGTTGTTCAGACTGGAAAAAAAGGTAATAACTTATTGTATAGCTATACAGTTCTTGTATACATGTAGCTACAGTATACAAGGAATTCTGCTAGTCTGAATGCGGGGCAAGATTATTGGAAATCAGGAGAGTGCCAATACTGGGGAGTGTTTTTCAATGTAGGCAATTTACATTGAAGGAAATGGTCCAATATCAGTGAATTAAAGAGCATAACACCCATCCATACTGCTATATTATTATACAATTGAGTCATTTGACTGATTCATCAACCGATAGATCTGATTTCATGATTTATCAGAGCATATAGTCACTGTTTAACGACAGGCTGGTCTGTGATGATTTGACACGACATTATTATATATATTCCCTAGTTATATTCTACCCAAATTAACACCAGATTCCTTTTGTCAAAAATCTGTTTTTGTCTGAGGTCCAAGTTTTCCTTTTGTTAGATGTGAACTAGACCCAGGTTTAGGTTAGTAACTATTGAACTAATTAAGATGTACACCTACAAACACATACCGGTACACACAAATACACAAAGAAGCTTTACTGAGAAAATTCAGGATTTTGAATAAGCTGTACTTAATTAAGCACACGATGTTTTCATGTCCAACTTGATATACTTGGCTTGAAGATGGAAAAAGAACAAATTGAGAGAGTCCTGTTTTCGCAGAACAAATACCGCTGAGCATACCTGTTTCCATTCATTATCCAAAAGATACTTGTTTACAAGTACTTTGCTAATTTGTTTTAATTCCAATCTAATTATATCTTGCCTTCAAATCTATACTACACAAATCCCTCCTTTAGAAATGACTTTAGGGGAACAAACTTAGTCCAAGCAGCATCCTTCTTGGAACAAGAAAATTCAAATAGGAGAAAAAAGAAGTAAAATATAAAACTTGTTTCTTTCCTGGTTCATTTTGTATGAATTCTGTGGTAAATGTGAAAGTCTCGACTTCTTTTGGGAGCTGATACGGAACTCATTTAATGATGAATTACGAGACCAACAAGAGCTATGTTCCTGAGGTAGTACTTTATAAGGAATGTCATAGCACTGTTGCTAAATTGAAGGGAAATTGCTCACCAATTGTGCCGCAAGGCTGGTTGAATCTCATGCAAAGATCGTATCTGTGGAATAAAGAGAAAGAAGATACAGGTTATTTAAAACACCAAGGAGAGAAGAAACTTGATGAGAAACGGAATTCATGCTTAATCAGTTGTGATGAAAGATAAGAAAATCATTTGATCCCCATCCTATGTTGTAACCTATTTCATTAGTTTATTTATTACATCATTGACTCACTTATCCATTTATTCACTTATCTCATTTTATTTCCACTTGCAGTTCGATGGTCATCTAATTTATCTGTATAATTGATCCATTCACTCATTAATTCAGTCATCCATTTGTTCATTGAATTTGTTAATTACTTCGTTAACTTGTGCCTCTAGTAATTCTGTGAGTAATTCAATTATTTATTGAGTAACGAGTCAATTTATCCATTTGTATACCCTTTCTCAAAGTACTGAATATATATTTCTCTTTGTTTCCTTTTCCAATTAGGTACTCAAAAGAATATAACTGAATATAACTGCATTATTTCATAACCTTTCACCCAATAAACCTCAAACACGTCTAGCATTTATCACAGGATCAAGATATTCAATTGCATAAAAAGAAAGTTTTCAAACTATGTCACAGTTCATCCTCCAAACAGAGGAGAAGAAAAAATGGGATACTTGTATACTTATAGAACAAAAAAAGAATAATACAAATATTAACAATGGTGTAAGTTTATGAAGTTCTTTCCCCCAGATAAAAAGTTCTTTGAGATGCCACCACTGGGTGAGGGATGGCATATCAAAATATAATGATCAAGCGCTTTCAGGTCGAGTTCAATGAATGCATGAAGTTACAACTTTCAATATCATTTCAATTTAAAGATTCACTCTCCCCCTCCATCTCTTAAAAATATAAACAATCCTGTCAATCAAAGAATAAAATGCTGAGTCAATCAAATAAACAAAAGTATTTCACTCAACACTTTAAATGCTTTAAATCTATCAACACAGCTAGCATTATCATACCAACATGAAACTTCTTTCAAATACTGAAACTTGCAACAGATATAAAGCAATTGGGAGGGGGAGGGGTGTACCTCCATTCTATAAAGTAAAATATATAAGGAGAGAATTGAATAGGGATCATAAGAGAAACATATGGTTAGGGGGATAAACACTGGGGATAAAATGCTTTTGACTTGATCTAATCCACAAGAAGAAGAATTTAGAGTGCAGAACAAGTGCTTCCATCTGTTCTCAGTACACACTCTCTCTCTTTCCAACCATTCAACATACTTGTAACATTCATGTGGTATAGCTTTCACTATGTAGTCTGACGAGAATATAGGCCTACCAGAATATCATCAAGACGAACCCAGACACCAGCTGTGGCACACTCTTCACTGTCTACATCATGGATTCAATTCTACACTGAGAAAATATTGTTTACATGGCCCCACACATGAAATGATACATTAATAATACGAGAAGAACAACATAACAGTTGACTAGTCAAGTCTAGACAGTCCCAAAGTATAAGTATTGGGCGATAAAAACGATCAAAGACAAAGCAACAACATCAACAACGACCTAGACAATCCATGGTGGGGTTGACACGAGGGAAGAATAATATGAGAGATGGCCGCATCTTTTTCTCTCATCTTCTCATCTATCTTGCCCTCTTGCTAGTGTGATGGCTTCACACTATTGTTTCAATCCTATTTTATCTCCCTCAATATGATGATGACTTGCACATGTCCTCCGGCCCATTTACTACCAGTTACCATGGTAATGGAGCATGGCAAGTGCCCCCTATTTGTAGAGATGCGTGATGGAGTAATAACAAGATGGTGGGTCTTGTTGTGAACTGATTGAACCTGTCCTACATTTGTATTAACATCACCTCCACCCCTCCCCCAAAAAAATCCACAAAAAAAAGGCAACAATTAAATTTTTGAACAGAGTGAACTGAACTGAAAAAACCCGTTAGCAACAGTTGTTGAAAAACGTCTGCCTAAAGAAGGTCATAAGTGGGCTCTTATGGGTTGAGACAATGGTATAAATTTTCCTTAAAATTAAAAGTGCTCCTCGAGTTATGACATGATTTAGGATCATTAATATAGCTCTCGATTACAATTTTTTTTTTAACTTGAAAAAAAAAATTCCACATTCTTTTTCTTACTCTCTATGCCAAATCAATTAACAATTCAAATATCTTCATGTGAAAAGATGAGAGTTCTTTTAAAGTGGGGGAACAAATGGAAGATGAAACGGGTGTCTTGAAGAGTATGAAACAACATGGGGTGACCACTTTGTCCATCAACTAGGACCATTTTGTAAACGGTATCACCTAAATCTACCTTCCTCACTTCTTTCAATCTATCTAACTTAAAAACTAAATTGTAAATGCATTTGCACTTGGCTATACATGATACATCTCCTCAAAAATTGTTTAACCAACAACAGTATTCATATTTTGATACTAAATAAATGCTCTAAAATATAAGTGAAATCCTTTGTGTCTACCATCCAAGATTGCATAAACAAAATCATCATATTTCTCTTTTCTACAAACAAGATTGTATATTTGGTATCAATCACAACTCTAAATCTAGACACTTTGTCAGGGATATCCTCCAAATATCCTCCGCCGTCTGAAAAACAGATTTCTGCTTCGTATCGGTTTCTATAAACTCCTCTAGAAGCTGGCATAAAGCTGGCATGACGATCGAGGGATATAGGGTAGGTAATGTCTGAACAAACAGCCTGGGCTTACAAGACTGGATGTCAGGTTGACAAGTGGTTTCACTCTGATCCAGAGAGGGCTATACACCTGTATCCTACAGATTAGTCATGATGTGTTCATACTTGTACTTGATCTTCAGAAAGCAACACACCTGCCTGTATACATGTACCACAGAATAGCCTGTGGTCACACTTGAACTCAATAGAAAGCAACACACCTGTATACATATACCACAGAATTAATAGCCTGTGTTCATACTTGATTTTGATCAGAAAGCAACACACCTGTATACATGTACCACAGAATAGCCTGTGTTCACGTTTGATCCAGCAAGAGCTATACACCTGAATTCTACAGATTAGTCAGTGCGGGTGTTCACACTTGAACTCGATAGAAAGCTATGCGACTATACACTTGTATTCTACTGATTAATGAAGCACTAATATTTGAAATTCGTATTTTTAATAAATAGCATAGCCACATGGTACCCCCTAACAAAAAGTTTGTTGGTGACTGCAGGTACACCTACAACAGGTTGGTACAGCAGAGGAACCTACATGGATGTCTGTATGAGCTGTACAGCCGTCACCAGGCTAATGACAGGTGTGACAAACACTTGGCAGAGACCGGAACCCATCGTTTCCTATCTCCTGTTTTGAATCTTCTTCTGCATCACATCCTAATGAACAGGCAAGTGGTTACCCCAACAGATTGAATGAGTACATAACGGCATGAATGTAACCACAAACACATGGTCTATAACATTCATTAAATCATGTACAACTGCCAGGTTTACTGACTGACTGAGTGCAAGTGTTGCTAATGTTTTAAATAGGCAGTAGGTTTGCTACATTATGATTTTGGCTTACTTTGGTTTTCTAGCTAAGCCTTTTGTATAATCTGGAACTATAACTGAATCCTTTATTTATATTTTGCCATCATGATTTTTGGTGAAACCTCCAAGAAAATTTGTAGACCCATGCAATTTTTCTATTCCATGTGAAAAGAAAAATGATAACGGTAGTTGAACTCCTATGCACATCATGCACATCATGCACATCATATAATCTCAACTTGATAGGCAATTATATTATGCCTCCTATAATGTCTGTGCTCTCACAAATGCCCATAAATATATGTTTGAACTGTTTAAAAGTGAAATCACTTGAATAAGTAATCTAGCATGCATTACTCTACAATGATATTGCCTGTTCAGAGCCAGAAGGGTGTTAAAGGTAAAGAGCAGTTCTGGTCATGCGATTGCATTGTGAAAGAAACGTTGTGGAATCGATCAGAAAAGGTTGATCATCTAGCATCTAGCATCTGCAAGGTTCTGGAATCATCAAAATGATAAGAAATTTGGCCCTTTCTTCGTAAAGTTACAAGCACTATACACAGAAAGATGTATATGGGACTACCCTATATCTCTCACAGACCATGAGAGAAACAAATTTACCAAATATATGAATAAGTAGGAGGTTTCCCGGCAAATTTTTTATCATCATGTATTAGTCAAAACATATTCTTTCACATGATTGGTAATGAGAGCTTCCATTTCATTTTTTGAAATTGGGGCGTTTCCAATACTGGTCTTTACCTTTAACTCTGTTTTAAAGTAGGCCTATAGATATGAGCCTTTCTGGCTCCAAACAAGTATGGAATGTAATATCTATTTAAGTACATTGCAACAAAGTATCTAAATGCAAACAAATCTTTCAATAATACTGGATAACAATCAAATGGAATATAAAGCTCATGTATCTACTTCGGATATCTGAGCTGAAACCGGTATTGGCTGCAGATTGAAAATAATACTAGGTGATGGGGTTCCCTGTAAACAGGAAATGCAAAACACTACGCCTTAATGGGTTTGGAAGAGTGCTTGGATGTCAATGAAATGGGCTTTTATTGGGAGTAACAGGTGCACAGGGGGGATAATTTAGGAATAAGGGGACAAGAGGGGGTAGTAACATTATGGAGTCTAGGCAATGTGTCACAGTAGGTTTACTAGATGGCTAACAAATACATATGTGGCAAGGGTTAAAATAAGAAATTCCATTTTTCACCTAATTTGGATCGAGTTACTTGCAACAATTTCTTATGAGGTTCATGGATATGAAATAGGATTGTATTTTGCCTGAAGAAATGAGTAAAGTGCATCAAAAGTTAAATTATATTTCATACAGACTAAAGAGTATGGTTACTATGTGATATACCTGTGTAGTACTACCCAAACATAGCCCCAGCATTCGGAATGTTTTGCACATATTTAATGAAAAAAAGAAAAATGTGTTGGCCATTTAAAGCAAATTATTAATAT